GTTGTTACAAGTCCTATTTGTGATGGGAAGGTGGCCGTGACATCTGTACGGTTGTTTGGGAGTTGATTCGCATTTTCGCCCCCTTAACACCCTTTTCCAGTTAAGTTTAATGCATTTTCGACTCTAACTCCCAAACTACGTGTGCTAATTACATTCCGTCTGTTGTCACAGGCCCTCTTCATCACAAGGAAGGTGGCCGTGACATCCATATGCTGGTTCTGGGGCTGATTCGCATTTTCACCCCTTTAATATTTTTTGGTTAAGTTTAATGCATTTTTGGCTCTAATTCCCAAACTATGTGTGCTAATGATATTCCGTCTATTGTGACAGGTCCTATTTGTCACGAGGAAGGTGGCCGTGACATCCGTACGGTGGTTTGGGGGTTGTTTCCCATTTTCACCCCCTTTTTGCCCTTTTTCGGGTAAGTTTAAATCATGCTAAAGTTCAACAAAATAAATGTAACTTAACCATAATAATAACTCAGCCAATACAGAAATGGAATAAAGGAAAAACCTTAGGAGGAAGCCTTATGTATGTGCTCATGTCGTACACCACAATTGACCATGCCATTTAGTTCGCAAATCTCATTCAATAGGTAGGACGTGCATAAAGTTGTTAGAATAATAAAATTGAGTAGCTTCATTAACAAAACTACTTTAAGCTATATATTATACTAGCACAATTCAACATTGGCATGCCCAAAGCATTTGTTAGACCCAGCATGATTGAAGAAATGTTTCTCTGTAGAAAAGCATGCCACTTTGCATATAATTGTTCATAAGCATTGGTCAGTCTCATGAATGAAATGGAAGAAATTTACCTATTTCAACAAAATAGAACAAAAGCAAAAAACCAAACACATGGAATCTATTTATTTATTGTCAAAAGAGAAAACATGGATAACAATCAATGAAAGTCAAAAGTACTTATTTATTGTCATCGTGCCTCAGTCTAACACTAGCACATGTAAGCAACAATATGGGCTCATGGTGTTCAATCTCCTCACAGTAAGAAACAATGCAAAATTAACAAACATATTTGCACTCATGGACTTCAAACAAAGCAGAACAAAGCAAATCCAAACACACAGGATCTCCATTTTTTAGAAAATCAAATCAGATCTGTAAAATGAGAATCCTGGATTTCAATTTGGACAGTAATCTCAATTGGACATTATGACAAAGCTCTGTTCCAAAGAATGAAAAGCTGGGTAATCCTGCTTCTTGCAATCATCTAGGAGGAAAAAAAAAACCAACAACAACAACTAGCAATCATCTATCTATTTATTGAGGTTAAAGCCTAGCCTCATGAATTGAATGAGCCAAACAAAATGTTACGTCATTATCACTTTTAATATGAATCAAACACAAATTGTTTTTAATTATATGATTTAACACCCTATTTGTTGAAACCTAAAATATTATATGTGAAATATTTTGTGTTAAAAAAAATGGATCATATTGTTTCCATGTTTGATTGCTAACTTAAGGGGGAAAATACATGGAAAGATTGCAATCAAGATGACTATGCTAATTGTTAATTGCCCGCTCACAGCAAGGACAATACTTCAATTTTAAAACATACAATTCACATAACCATCCCATCAACTGCTTATGAGTACATAGTCCATCAAACTCAAACCAAGGATCCATAAATGATCCATCCTTCCCTTACCACCTCTCTTAGTCAAAATGTACACAAAAAAGGCCAATTGAGCTAACTCAATTGATTATCTATTTTATTAACTATAACATCTAAGTTTTAAAATATTGGTTTTTTTTTAGATAGTAAAACATTGATTTTTTTTATATTTTTTTATAGGCCTTGTTTTTATATCAAAATTGGGTGTCTTTTACAAAACAAGAGATAAATTGTAACATATATATATATACATAAATTTTTTAAAATATAAATAAAACCTTGAGAAATTTGGGATCTAAAACCAGAGTTTTGTTGACTATATATGGTTGAATCCAGGAATGAGGCATTAGTTTGACAAAGGAAAATAAACCTGAGATATGCGAAGCTTTACTCCCAGATCAAGTTGGCAAGTGTATGTTGAGCCAGGTTTGACTTCAATCCATGTAAAATAAAACAAAATAAAATAAGAAAATGATATAGAAGATCATTTTCTAAACCCACTTTCTAAAGCACACAAGACTAGCATCATTCCAGGGGTGTATCAAGAACAGAACTACTTAAAAAACAAAGTTGAAGCAAGCTGTGGACATGATTAATAATATTGGCAAGAAACTAAATCATTATGTGCCTTTCATATAATTCTACTTGTGCTAAAGTATAAGTTTCTATCAACATAGCCCACCTACTAGATAGATCTGTGCTTTCACTCTGATTAAAATTTCCCAAGTACAACCAATTTGATGCATTTTGATGTCCCATTGAAATCCCCTTCCATGATAAGACCACAAAAAAAATATATAATAATAATAATAATAATAATAATAATAATAATAATAATAATAATATCCACTTCAAATATCTTTAGCTCTTTGACCCAACAATAACAGGTGCTTGGTATCACATTTACCTACACATTTAATCTCTCAAGTAAATATACATACTTTGGAAGTATTGCTTTTGATTTCAAGTTTAGGCATTGTAATATGACATAACATGCAAAGAATGAACCATACCTCTCCCAAGGTCATCAGGATTTGCATGCACAACCACTGCCCTCCCCAATATGGAATGTTGCCCACTTAACGGAATCTACAAATTTGAAAACAAGGTGTACACATAATTCCATCAAATCAAAGCTTTCCATATGATGGAAAAATGAGAGATTTAAAATAGTATTCTATATGGCATTTGAAACTACATTTTTTTGGTGCAGCAATTGAAACAAGTTTAATCCCTTACTGTGTGTAGTAGGTCAATAATCAAATTAACAGAATATGACATCAATTAAATCCTCTTTTCTTTTCGTCATCATTACGAAACAAATAGTAACAATTTTGGAATGAAGGAAATTGCTCTTAATATACCAACATGTCTTTAATCATAATCTCTGCAACCCTTTAATCATAATCTCTGCAACCCCTGAAACATGGAAACAAAAGTATAGGCTATTAAATGAATCCACTCCAAATAATAATATCAATAGCATCAATGAATAAGTAAAAGAAACTGAACACACACCATCTGGGCCAGTAACAATGAAGGAGCTCCATGATCCTTCTTGAATGGATTAAAATGAGGTCTTGCTATTATAAATAATTCATCAAATCGAAAGAACATAGATTAAAAAGTGCCAAGGTGTTAAAATTGATGTATTGATTGATGTGTATTGTATTTTACAAATGGTGAGGGGCTCCTTATATAGGAGATGTAGTGGAGTAGGTGGTAGTAGGTGGTAGTGGTAGGTGTGTAGTAGGTGGTAGTAGGTGTAGTAGGTGAAGTAGGTGATGGTAGGTTTTAACAGCCCCCCGCAAACTCAAAGGGGATAGGAACTAACCAACTTGAGTTTGGATGTAAAAGCAACTTCATGGCCAATTTAAGTCACCCAGTTGGATATTTTCATGTTAGAAATAGAGAATTCAAACTAGGAAACAACAGAACCAGGACCAGCACTATTTCCTACGTTAATTGGCTAACCTTCCCTATCTGCTGCATTAAAATTTCATTCCGTAAGTTCCTTGTAAGCTTGGTCCATCTTCAATTTGCTAGCATCAGTGTCAAAATGGATAACATTGCTTATTTATTTATTTATTTATTTATTTATTATTTATATTTTTTTTTAATGATTTTGTCATTGCCTGTCATTTGTGTTGAAGGGGCAGTCTTAGTGCACAAGATGTATGCAGTCCTACTCTGCATGTTCATTTCAGTTTAAGCAGATAGAAAACGAGTTGGAAATAACCTAGAGCGTCTCCAACCAACATGCCAAATCTCATATGACAACTCAGAAAAGTAATATTTGGCTTCTCTACAAGCTACAAGCTACAACCAAAATGCCATTTGCCTATGTGGCTTTTGGCATTGCCCTACCCATGTCCAATTTGGTGTACGATGGGAGATGTTAATTTTTATTTTTATTTTTTTCTTTTGCTTTGTTTATTATGTGAGACCTACATTAAAAAGAGATTAAATTAAAATATATAATAAAATGAAAAATTTAACATATTGGATGTAGTATTTATTTTAAGAGACTGTCATGCTCTAGTATTTTGCCAAACAAACTACAATTGACAACTCTGATTGGTGTCAACTGTTTTATAAAGTGGCCATATAAGAATCAACATTTCACACACATACACAAACAGAGAGAGAGAGAGGATTCATACTCGGGGAGGCTTAAAGTGTTGTATTGATACCATAATACTACACTTTGAGCCTCACGTCTTCACCCCGTTGCCCTGCAAACATCATATCCACAATTACGTTACATAAATATATATATATATATATATATAGATATACATATAGATCCAACACCACTCAGAACCATCATAGATCATAAAAAAGCAAGAAATAATGAAAGAACATGTATAAATGCTTGTATGGTGCATGTATAATGGAGAACTAACTCGATTCATTTTTCTTACAAATTGCCTGAATTATGAAGTAGCAAAAAGAGAGACAATAACAAATTCACAGTCGATGCCCTTTTACCATCAAAGAGGATGGAGAGAGTGAAAGTGAAAGTGAAAGTGAAAGTACCTTCTTGAGAGCTTGAAGGGAGAAAGTATATCGGACTGGTCTCCGGCTGCCCATCCAAACGCCGTTACTGCATGTACTTCCCCCGCTGATGACTCCATTAATTACTTGTAATTTCTAAGAAATGCAGAGCGAGAGAGAGAGAGAGAGAGAGAGAGAGAGAGAGAGAGAGAGAGAGAGTATGTGTGCAAGTGTAAGACTATTTATATACATGTGGGGGCATGGAAATTGGTTGACGTAATTGCTGAAGTAGGTCCTTTCTCCTTGGTCAATGTTGTGCTAAGCTCTTCACAGTTTGTCAAAGATGATAAAGTCCAGAAGGAAAATATATCTATACATATATATATATATATATTTATATATATAAGATAAAGAGGGTTTGGGCGGTGGAAAATGTGATGATGGTTTTGAGTGGAGAATATTTTAGAATAAAAAAGGTTATATAATATATTTCTCTCTCCAATGTCCCCAAAAGCTGTCCGAGCATGCTTTTATTTCTATTAACCAAGCTTGGGTCCTCATCTTTTGGCAGTACCCTTGGAACATGCTCTGTCGGAGGAACTTCAAAATCCATCTTAGATGGCCTTTGATTGCCATCCCTCCTTGACAAATTGGATGGCTTTCTCTCACTCTGGTTTGCTGTGACACCACCACTGCTACTACCTTCCACGGCTGAATCCTTCTTCTTTGCATTATTTGTAGCCTCAGCAGCATCTTTCTCAGCTTCGATCTCAGCAACGATGGCGTCGATTTCCTCTTCTTCAAGTTGCCGCAAGCCATGCTCCTTCGTCATCACAACAACTTCAATGGTCTTTCCCCCACTCTCAACAACTTCGAGCAAGGCGCGAATTGCAAGTTTGACAATTTCTTGCCCAGAAGTTTCTTTATAATTTTTCTCCAAAAATTCTCGCATTGAATTAGAGTTTCTCCCAGTTGCATTAGCTTTCCATGCAGAAAAAGTACCTGATGGATCTGTCTGATATAGCGATGGCACACCAGTGTGAGGGTCAAAGCCCACAATCAAAGTTGAAAGAACAAACGGTCTGCCACCACTTTGTGTGTACTTCTGTTGAAGACCATCAGAGGATGGACCTTTGCTGGCACGCAGTGGCACTGCTTCTTGAATGATCACAGCCTCAAGAGCAAAGAGAGGCTACTTTGAAAGTTGCAGCACAAACATATGGTGACAGAGGTTCTTGAGAGAATCGTAACTCCAACTGTTGCGAGACGACGACTGAGATTCGAAGAACGACGAGAACGCATCCATTTTTCTTGAGAGAGATCGATCGATTGATTCGATTACAAGTTTGTATCTATGTAGGTATGTATATTTATGTATTGATAGAGATGACAGCGGAATAGGTTGAGGTCCGGCGGGCGGCTAAGGTGAGGTTGCCGCCCGCTGGGGAAGCGAAATTAGGAGATTCTAAACCGGCTCTGATACCATATTAAAATTGATGTATTATTGATTGATGTGTATTGTATTTTACAAATGGTGAGGGGCTCCTTATATAGGAGATGTAGTGAAGTAGGTGGTAGTAGGTGGTAGTGGTAGGTGTGTAGTAGGTGGTAGTAGGTGGTGGTAGGTGTAGTAGGTGGAGTAGGTGATGGTAGGTTTTAACACAAAGGAAAAACTTAAGAAACATCCTAGCAAGTTGCCCAAAGACCTTTCTAAGCTACATGGCATACAAGAAATCACAAATATAGTATTTGTCGAAACTCGTAATACCTACACAGAACACTTCAATGATTTTATATATCCAATCAATTCGATGCATACAAAAATGTTAAGACAGAAAAAAATAAATAAATTGTAAAGACAATAATAATAATAATAATAATAATAATTAGTTTTCAAGATAATCTGCAGATTAATATTGAATGTACGAAACATAAAACATCTGAAAATGTTCATGTTTTTTGCCTGGAGTACGTGTCACACAAATTTTATATTCTTGGGATTTGAAATTTACATTAGATGAGTATTTTGAGTGTCAATCCAAATTGGTTCCTTATGAAGACCAGTCTGATGACGAGCACAAAACCAATGAAATTTACATTGGTGTGTTGTTGCTTCATCTAAGTGGCAACAGTGGTTAGAAAGAACAAATACACTTGAAGGACTAGAAAGAAAGCATAGAATATCCTTGTAAAATTGTTTTTAAATCTTACCTGTTATGCACAATAAAATTCCACCCAATGACATCCATCCACCTTTTCTTGTCTTCTTCAAGAACTTGAACATGTAATATGGGGAGAGAGCTTTATAAACATGAGATTTATAAACATGTAACATGAGATTTCCCAATCCACACAATGAGATTTATAAACACAATAAATTTGTGTTTCAACCTTCCTCAAAATTTGCTTAAATATGTGGTAACCAATCTGTGTTACTAAATAGTTTAGAATTAGAATACCCCAATCATGTCCCAAATTCTTGCTTAATCCAGCTTGAATTTGGGATTTCTGTGTAAAAATCAACACAAACCCTATACCAAGTGTGGGAAATCAACACAACATTAACTCAAATTCAACACAAAATTAAACAACAAAAATCATATAAAACCCTAGGGCAAGTGTGAGAAATGGGGAAATAGAGGAAGGAAGAAAGAGAGAGAAATAGGGAGACCGATCTAGCTAATCGGCAAATGGAACTCAAGGCTCTGAATCTTCCAAATACTTATTGGAATCTCACCATCCAAATGGTTAGTAAACAAGAAAAGGTTTTGCAACTCACTCAGCAACCCTAATTCGCTTGGGATTTCCCCCTCAAGTTGGTTGTCATACAGCTGGAGATCATTCAGGGATTTCAAATTGCCAAGTTCAGGTGGTATTCTACCCGATAAACGGTTTTCACAGAGGTAAATAAGTGTCAGCTGGGTTAATTGTCCAAGCGAATGTGGGATAAGACCAATTAAACCACAACGAACAATGACAAGTTGAGTTAAGCTACTATAATTTCCCAACCTTGGTGGAATACCACTGCTAAAATAGTTGAAAGACAAGACGAAAGTGTCCATTTGCTTGAAACTACCCAAACCCAATTGAATAGTACCCTCTAGACTGTTATTACGAACATCAAGATACATTAGCTCCTCAAGATTATTCAAACTCTCTGGTAAATCCCCAACAAATTGATTATCATTCAAGTAAAGTTCTTCCAATTTGGTACAATTTCCTATGGAGGAAGGAATGGTGCCTGACAATTGATCACCATATAGCCAAAGAGATGAAATCTCACTCATTTTGCCAACATTCAATGGGATTGAACTGTTAAGTTCGTTCATATCGAGCCAAACAGCATCCAAATGTCGGATTCGAAACAGAGATTCAGGGATTGAACCTTTCATGAAATTAGAATACAAGTTTATGAATCTCAATTTCAGCAAATTCCCAAAGCTCTCTGGTATATCACCAGTGAAGCTGTTTTGGGAGAGTTCCAAGTATTCAATGAGACTACAATTACCTAATTCAGAAAGGATTGAGCCTGTGAAACCATTGTTGCGGAAATCAATGGACTTTAATTGGGTCAATTCAGCTATCTCAGGTCCTAATTGACCCAATATTTGAAAACCAGAGAGGTTTAAAGAAACTACAAAGTGGTTGTGGTGATGATTGGAGTCACATTCGACTCCAACCCATGAACAAGGAGTGGAATCACATTCGACTTCAATTGAATAATTTTGTGGCCCCAAATTCAATTACTCGTATGATAATCAATCGCAAAAATACACAAACAAACTCATAAAAAAGAAAGAAAAAATTAATAATTATGATGAGAAATGATCAATCTCGTACCTATAGATGCAATGCTATACAGCAAAGAGCAAGAACGAATCTCTGTACGCCATGCCCAGCTGCTTCGGATCGGATTCCTGTATCAATCGCCACCGACCCATTAACCCTAGAAATGTTTAGTGTGAAGCGTCTGGCTCCCATGTCCTCTGTGGCCAAGGTGGGTTGAACCGGGTTCACAATCGATTCGAGGGAGCCGAGAGGGTAGTACGAGTGATTGATTCTCGGTGTGAGAGACAGACAGAGGGAGATTAAGAGAGAGAAAGAACCGTGTGAAGAAGTAATACATTTGGGCAAAAATTTCGGCGCCAAAATGAAATTTTTCCCAGTAAAATTTTGAACAGATCTGGCGACTATTAGTCGCTGAAGATAGGTTAGCAAAGATAAAAAATTAAAAAAAAAATTACTTTTTGTCAGATAAAGGCGATTAAAATAATTTTTTGTCGCTGAAAGCAAGTTTTTGGGGACTAAAACTTTAGTCGTCAAAGAGAAAAAATATTTTTTTTATTTTTCATTCGGCGACTAAATATTTTAGTAGCCAAAAGTCAATATACGGCGACTAATTTTTTTTTGTCGCTGAAAGTAATCTTTTGGCGACTAAAACTTTAGTCGCTAAAGAGAAAAAATAATTTTTTTATTTTTCATTCGGCGACTAAATATTTTAGTAGTCAAAAGTCAATATACAGCGACTAAGTTTTTTTTTTTGTTGCCAATTCTGGCATTTTTAGCGACTAAATTTTTTTTTAGTCGCCAATAATGAATATACCCCGACTAAAAAAAAAATTAGTTGCTAAATATTTTATTTTTGTTGACTAAAAAAATTTTTGGTCGCCATTTCTATAACTTTTGGCGACTAAATTTTTTTTAGTCGCCAATTTTAGTTGCCGAATGTGCATTTTGTTGTAGTGTTGTGAAGAAATTTTGTTTGATTCTTTTCTTAATTGATTTTCATTTGGTGTCAAAGATTTCTTTTTATCCCACAATTTTTTTTTTTCTTTAGCCATGTAAACTGGATTCATTTTGGTCTATCTTGCTCTTCTTATTATATCAAAATAATGTTATCATGTCACCTGTTCCTTATGGAATCAATATGTTAAATATATAAATGAAGTTTGAGCTGGTAAGATTGCAGATTGCACCTCTGTGACAGACATTTGAAACAGAAAGCTGATAGGTGGAGAAAATGCTTGATATGCATATTGCATCAAAATCTCCCAAAGAAGATAACACTTGGATTTAGTTTGTAGCCCCTTTTTATTTTTCCATTTTCCTTTTCTTTATCTTGTTTCTATAGTTGTTCAGGTACCTTTCGGGGATTCTTGTTCAAATTTGACTTATTATCTTTAATTCTTCCTGCTTATTAGGTATTCATTTGCCTAGAAGGAGTATGCTTTTATCAAAGAAAGATACTAAAACCTATTTTTATCAATCAATCTCGCTCATCTCAAAGATGCGGTATCACATCCAATTTGGACTTTTATACATGCTGCCTTCAGCAAGAATTCTATGTAAGTTTGTTTCCAGCATTATGTTAAGAGTTCCATCCTTGCTTTAGTTTTATTTCTTTTATTTCTTATCAATTATTTTCATGCAATTTTTGTCTTTATTTTTTCGGCAGTCCATTTTTCTGGTACTCTATTAGTTCTATCCTGACAACTTTACTTTTATTTCTGGTCAATCATTTCTATGCATTGTAAACTTTTGGACATAACTGTGCAACTTCCTAACTACTCTGAGTAGAATTGATATTGTATACTTTTGGACATCCCGAAAATCACAGAAAATTTATAACTCCATTATAATTACTGAAAATGTAGTTGCTAAATATACCTTAAAAACAACAGCTAGAGGAAAGAGAACAGTGGAATAATTACTATCATACTCCAATTTAGTGTTATTTAGTCACTATGAGAGAATTACCACATCAGATCAACTCTTCGTCAATTGGAGATGCCAAATTTTGAAAAATCAGCACGAAACAACGGTTCATTGGATTCCTGGTCATCCTTTGATAAACATTAATAATGAGCCCACATGAAAATTTGCATAATAGTTAAAAGGGTTTTGGGTAATGGATTGACCTTTATTCTTTTTTTTTTTTTTTTTAGCTATCATGAAGTCTGTATGATAGGGGGAGAAAATAAGACTGTAGAGTATTTGTCTCTGGTGTGTGTGGGTATGAGTATGGATGTGTGTAAATGTGTGAGTTGGATATGGAAATTGGAACTTGAAATGATATATTGGAATTGGGTGGGATCACTGGTGTAATGAAATGGCAAGGAAATGCTTATGATGGTATTAAAATGGAATGTTGACATACATTGTGAGATATAAAGATTTAAAGGGTGTGTTTGGTTTGGTTTTGGGAGATAAATTTTCAAAACAAAAAAATTTGGGGACAGTTTAGAAATTTTTTTGGTTTGTTTGGTTGTATATTTTGGAAATAATTTTGGAGTATGGGAGTTTGAGATGATTTGATATTTTGTTGTAGTTAAGTAAATGTGTGTGAAAGAAAAAGTGATTGAAAATGAGAGAGGAAAGAGAAAAAGTGATTGATTGATGTGTAGGAGAGAGAAAGTGATTTTGGAAATTTTTTTCCAAAATCACTAAATCACACAAAATTTTGAAAATTTTGCTCCAAAATTACTC